TTTTTTGTTAAATCTATGTATGCACGTATGTATGATGTATGTATGTATGTATGTGTGTGTGAAAATGTGTTTATGCATGTGAATATGATGAACATGGGATCGTAATTACGTGTTTATTTTTTAACGAGCACATTGAATTCTATGCAAAATACGATTGACACGAATTTACCATTTGATTAGATTTATTTTTCTATCTATCTAAATCTTTTAGAAGATTTTCTTTTTTTTTTCTTTTATTTTTCTTTTATTTTTATTTTCATTTTCTCTCGCGTCGAATCCCGATAAAAATGGTACGTATTTTTAAAAACGTTAAAGATTAATTTAAATCGAAGAAAAAGAGAAAAAGAGTTACAGAGAGAGAGAGAGAGAGAGAGAGAGAGAGAGATAGAGAGAGAGAGAGAGAGAGAGAGAGAGAGAGAGAGAGAAAAAGCTGCATGCCTGGGAAAGAATTTCGTTGCCGAGAGAAGAAATTGACTGACAGTGAAAGTAGTGGCAGTGCGTGTGCTTTTTTTTCGTGTACTTTTTCTTTTTTTTTTAATTTCATTTCTTTTTTTTCCCCCTTATCTACATACGTGCCCTTTTCTCATTTTGTTTTATTATACATATTTGTAATATGTAATTTTTTTTCTTTTTACTTTATTTAATTAACACTAGAACTATCAAGATTTTCATTTTTTTTTTCCTCATTTGTCACATTAATCAATTTAAAGTTAGTGTTGTTACGTTTATGTGACCACGAATTTTTAAGATATATTAATATTTACGATTTATATTAAAAAAAAAAAAAAAAAATCAGTCAAAAGTATCGCGGTTTTATAAAATATTTTTCTTTTTTTATTATTAAAAATGTTAAAAATTCATGACGCGTCCTATTAAAAAGAAAAAGAAAAAATAGGAACAAATTTTCTTTGACTATCACCGAAACAATTGTTTTGACTGATTTTAAAATTTATCACTTAAATTTATAATTGCACGCGAGAAATAATAAATTTCCTTCTAAGTTTTAAAAAACTAAAAAATATATAAATAATTAAATATATATATATATATATATTATTTTCAAATATATTATTGGAAATTGTTGATAGTTCTATTGTTAATGATCATTGATATAGCATTTTGCAAATCAAACGATCCCAGACACGATGTAGATACAAAGAAATATTATAATCGAACGTATATGTGTGTATGTGTTTTTGTGTCCTGTGTGTCTATACGTGTATGCGTATGCGATGTAAAGACGAATTAGAAATATCAATAGTTAAAATAGCCGCGCACGCCTTTTGATTTCGTTTCTACGCCATTGGGGTAATCTGTAAAATTCGGCTCGAGTGCATTGTAAAATCGCTTCAAATTCGGCGTCCGATAAATGTCGCTGTAAAAGACAAACAAACAAATTAATTAAAAAAAAAACATTTCATTATTATTTATCATTAATAATATTTATTAAAGATTTTTTTATAAAATTCAAATTTCAAAGAAATTGCAAAGATGCACAATTTGCAGCATTGCATTCTCTGACATTTCCTGAACTTTACATGCTAAATTTATAACTCGATATGGTATTCT